GGCGGGACTGTCTTTTCACACAGCCAAGAGGGCACCTCTGCAGCGATGCCCATGTCTAAAGTATCGATCATTTCTAATATAAGCATGAGGTTTCCTGGGCAGAGTCCCACCCCTGGACTGGAAAAACTCCCAATTTAAACCTGAAGTAAATACTTTCTAAAAAAGAGACCTGGGTATAGTCTTGGGTGAAATGCAGCGAGGTCTCAAAGGAATATGACACAGTCTTTGGACACATCCACCTCCTAGCCCAGTGGTCGGCAAACTCATTAGTCAACAGAGCCAAATATTAACAGTACAACGATTGGAATTTCTTTCGAGAGCCAAGTTTTTTAAACTTAAACTATATAGGTAGGTACATTGTTATTAATTTAATTAGGGGACTCCTAAGCTGGCCTTTGCTAAAAACGTCCTCAATCGGATTGAGGTACGTTCGCTGAGGTCGGCCCCTTCCAACTCTCCCATCCACACTCGTCTTGTATACTGTTTCGTCTATCTCTTTTCGCTCATCCTCTCTATATGTCCAAACCATCTCCACATACCTTTCTCAATCCTCGACACTGCATCTTCTTTCACTCCACAGCGTTCCCCAAAATTAACTTAATAAACTTTACTCAAAGTTTTAAGTCAACTTCGCACTGTACGTGCGCGCCCGCAAGTGGCATTTTGTGGAAGAGACACATTCAAGGGGCCAAAGAGCCTCATGTGGCTCGCGAGCCGCAGTTTGCCGACCACTGTCCTATGCACACAGACAGATAAAAATTCTGAAAGAATAAACCCTAATATATTAACAGGAGATGGAGAAATCATCTTCTTGGTTTCCCTGTTTGTGTGTTTACAAAACCTCCGCGCTGATCAGGCCCTCCGCAGGGCGGGGCCGGGCCCCGGGGTCCCCTTGCTCTCCTGTCTGTGTGAGGCGCTGGCCCCGAGACCCAGCCGGATGTCCCCTCCCCTCAGCAGCTGTCCCGGCCCCCTGGATCCCTTTCATTTCTTCCGTCGCTTACTGCACGTCTGACCGCCAGTGACAAGAAGGGCCAGAAGCCCTAACGTGTGGTCTTCGTGCCAATGACAAGGGACCAAGAACGAGTCAGAGATCCCAGCAGGACTGAGTCCAGGGAAGGAGCAACTTTTGCAATAAGCTCACAAATCATGTGCCGCTGAGGCCCCTGGTTTGCGGTCTTGGCACAACACTGAAATCAGGAGGCCGCCCCGGTGGGAGCCTGTGGCAGGCCCCGACCCCGGGCGGCCGTGGAGTTACCCCAAGGAGAGACCAGGAATCAGAGGGGCTACACGGGCCATCGCTAAAATGGATTCGTCTTGCCGAGCATATACAAGTTCTCGGGCATATGTAGACGGCATTAACAACCAAGTTCATCACATTAAACACTTCCTTTCTCATTGCTTCTCCATCAAAGACACTAACACCACTTCTTTCTCAAGTACGCCTCGGCCTAATTTTTGGATGTTGCAGGGCTCCATGCTCAGAGCCTGAGAACACGCGTGTACAGAAAGGAGCCCGGGTCTCAGGCGGGACAGGGCAGGGGTACGAGGCACTCTGTCAGGTAACAGAGTCCATCTGAGCGTGTTTCTTAAACTCTCTGAGCCTCGGTTTGCACATCCCAAGGTGAGAACAGGAATACCATGAGCCTTCCGATTAGAGAAAAGGCCATGAACTCCGTCTTCCAGCTGACCGTCTGCCCCCGCCCACATCCTCACCGACAGTCAGAGTAACAAACATTAGCAGGCCCTGTGTCCCTCTGCTGCCCTCCAAACGCAAGGCCAATGCGCCCGGCCACCAGCCAGGCCTGACACTGTCGCCTCCTGGCCTTTTCTCTTAACCCACTGAAACACGCAAAAAAAAAGCACATGGTAAAAAAAATGCTCAATGTTACTTTTTTTGAGTGGGAACATGGAAGATCAACCCTCTCGGTTAGAACAAAGTGGAACTCATGCTGGGAAGGTGACAGAAAGGAAATGGTATTTTAAGTTTTATCTACACGTAACTTGAATTGGAAATTATTCTTGAAATACGTCCACAATGTTTTAGATGAAATGATGGTTACATATAATTAAAGATAATCATGTCCTATCTCTCCATAAAATTCCTTTAATGGTGAAGTAAGTCTAATTTACCCAAAATGACTCTATTAATTGAATATTTTTGGTTGATAAGCACATTAAACCAAAAGAGAGCAAGGTCATTTTAATTTTAAATGCTCCACTGACACATCGCAATGAGAAATACATGGTAAGTATCAGGTTCTAATGTAGTTAAAACAACATATATTTTTATACTTTTATTTTCGGGGCAGAAAAAAAAGGTCTTCTCTGCTCCTAGCCACAAACCCCTAGAGGGACTGGCATGAAAGGGGCTCCTGCGACTCCACTAGAACCACCTGGGACACAGGACTGCTTGGCAGAATGAGCTATGAGCAGACCAAGCAATCAGGTCACCAGGCTTTGCGCCTTGGCCCACAAGCGTGTTTCTCTGACTGCAGGTCAGCTGGAAGACCGCGGTCACGGCCTTTTCTCTAACCAGAAGGCTCATGGTATTCCTATTCTCACCTTGGGATGTGCAAACCGAGGCTCGGAGAGTTTAAGAAACACGCTCAGGGGCACAAGCAAACACTGTCCCTCAGTGGGATTACACAGAAAGGAACCACCTCTTCCTTCCACAGCAAGGATGGCCCGGCTCCTACAAGTGAGAACGGATGGTATCTCCAGTAGTTAATTATTCACCCAGCCAGCCGCCTCCCCGTTTCCTGAACACCGTTCTGTAATTTGCTGATAAGACTCTTTCTGCGGCACCTACTCCCAGGTCTTAGAGAGACGAAGTGGACAGTGCATCTCCTCTCATTGTACAGATGAGTAAACTGAGGCATCTAATTGAAAATAATTCAGCTAATACTGTCCACAATAAAAAATATTAATAATAATAATAAAGCTAGTGCGTTGAAAAGCTTACCCGGGGCTTTACCCAACAGACCGCTGGAGCAGGTGCTGACTGCTGGGGGGGGGCGGGGGGGGGGCGGGGGGTGTTTTCAGTGCAGGGCACACAGGCATCCTCAGGCCACTGCACTTCACAGACACTGAAGGGAAGACCCTCCGGGCTTGCTGACAGCTCAGATGTCAATTGGTTAACATTTTTTATGAATAGAGTAGCTTTTTAATTAAGGTAGATACATGGTGTTTTTAGACATAATGCTATTGCTCACTTAACAGACTACAGTAGAGTGTAAACATAACTTTTATAGGCACTGGAAAACCAAAATATTCCTGTTATTCGCTTTATTGCGATATTCGCTTTATTTTTGGTGATTTGGGGCCAAACACACAATATCTCAGAGGTATGCCTGTATTTTAACTGTTAAAGCAATCCAGGAAGCCCTAGCCAGTTTGGCTCAGTGGAGAGAGCGTCAGCCTGCGGACTGAGGGGTCCCAGGTTCGATTCCAGTCAAGGGCACAAGTCCGGGTTTTGGGCTAGAGCCCCAGTGGGGGGTGTGCAGGAGGCAGCTGATCAATGATTCTCTCATCATTGATGTTTCTCTCTCCCTCTCCCTTCCTCTCTGAAATCAATAAAAGTATATCTTTAAAAATATCCAGGAAGATATTAGTCATACACCAACGTATCTCTGGCTAGTAAGTGTAGGAGCAGTGTTAATTTAGTTGAATCTTCTCTAATTTATTCTTTTTTATTCACAATTACAAAGATGATGGTAAATTAAGAACCACTATGATTTTATTCTCTCCCAATACTATATGTTATATTTTCAACTAGTAAATCAAATCAACACTTGGGATGCTGAACACAATACAATATGCAGATGTTGTATTATAGAACTGTACACCTGGGATCTGTATGATTTCATTAACCAATGTCACCTCAATAAATTCAATTTAAAAATGGGGGTGGGGGGGAGACCAAAAAAATAAAATGAAAAGACAAAACACAATCCTGGGGCTGTGGGAGACCTGGCCACTGTTTTCACCGCAGCTTTCTGGAGATGTAGACTGCAGCCCAGATCCCAAGCGCCTTCAAGATCCACATTAATTCCCAGCTTTTAAAAGCCCCATGTACAGAAGAAAGCCTCTTCTGCAGTGAATGCGTTCATACGTTGCCATCAGCTAAGAGACATTTTGGGACGTGATCAGGTGCGACTGAATGTCAAGGCCTCAGAGCCAGGCGGCATCTGTGACAGCTTCCCTAGGCGGCCGCTGCTCTGTGAAGCCACCGTGTCCCCCAGGGGCTCCGGGGAGAAGACCCCAACTTAACAAGTGAGGACCGCCAGGCCCGTCCCCACGACGACCTCTCATGCTAACTCCACCTCGGAAATACACAGTTGGATTTTGCCGGCTTTCGCACTGTGAACAATTCAGGGTTCATACATGCATGTGCCATCCTCCGCCTCAAGGAAGAAGTGATGATAGCTCCAGCTCCATGTGCCTGCCAAACGCTTTCCTCCAGCCAAGTGTGGAAACCAGAGCACCACTCCTCAAAGCCCAGACACACACACACACACACACACACACACACACACACACACACACAGGAGAGTATGGAGAACTGGCAGGCTGCGTGCCGATGTCCACGGTAGTCAACACGGGAACCTGGAGCAGCAAGCAGCTCGCCAGGAAAACCATGGCCTGGGACCCCACTACTGCGTGCCACCCCGTGTCTCGGACCCACTTCACTTCCCACCCAGGATCGCAGCGCTGCACCCGGTTGGCTGCATCAACCCCCAGACACCCCGGGAGCCAGCCGCTGCCAGAGCCGCTGGAACGTGACGGGCGGCGGGTTCTGCTCCGCTGCGGCCTGCGCTTCCAGCGCGGGCATCACACGTCCACTTCCCCTTTGCCATTTAGAGCCAGGACCTCAGACTTGGGATGTGGTTAGAGGACAAGAGCAAAAAAAGAAAGAAAAAAATCCCAGACACGGAACAGTGAGAACAAAGGAAACGCAGGCATGTGAACAGGAAATGAAGCAACTGGAGACACTTACATACCTTTTGGGGCCGCCAACGTACGTGAAGGTAAAGGTGGAGTCCGAGTACCTGAAATCTGACCGAGAAAGTCCCGTTAGGAGCTGCCTGGGGGGGGGGGGGGGGAGGGCAGGGGTGTACCCGGGTCGGGGGTGGGTCCCAGGCGGTGGAGCCAGAAGCCCCACCCCCACCCCTTCCCCCCGGGAGGCGAGGCTGGGCAGCCACCGGGACCCCCTGGACGCGGGAGGGATGCCCGGGGCCGGCGCCGTGGGAGCCCCCGCCCCACCCCCCGCAACAAGTGCCGGTGCCATGGCAACAGCGCGAATTGGGAATCGCCGGGTCCGGCAGCCGGAAGCGCCCTCGCCAATCTCCCGGCTGCGAAAGCCAAAAGCGATCCCTCCCCCGGGAGCGAGGTGGGCGCGGGGCGGCCGCCGGGGAGGACGCCGGGCCCCCGGGCCCCTCTCCGCAGGCCCCCCTCTCCCCGGACCGCGCACCGCCAGGCGGAGCTGCGGAGCCCGAGGTCTCCCGGCGCTGCCCCCGCGGCCTCGGTTCCCGGCTGCTCAGCCCGCGGCGCAAACCCGCCGGTCCCGCCGCCCGCTCGGTCGGTCGCGGCTGCCGCCGAAACCCCGAGGAGCTCGGACAATCGGGGCGCGCACGGGGCGGGGGCAATAATACAGCGAAGCCCCCTCCCCCCCCGCCGAGCCCCCGGGTCCTGCCCCAAAGCTGCGGGCTGCCCCTGACCTGGGGGCGGGGGGACCGGCCTCGCCCCCTCCCCCGCGGGCTCCCGCGCCCGCTCCCGCCGCAGCAGCTGCTGCCAAACGAACCCCGAATCGGGGACGCGCGCCCCGGCCCGCGCGCCGCGGTCCGCACTCGGGCGGGGAGCCGGGAGCCGGGGGCCGGGGCCGGGGCCGGGGCCGGGGCCGGGGCCGGGGCCGGGGTCGGGCGGCGCTCACCTGCGAACAGGCAGTCCGTGTCGGCCCGGGACCGCTGGAGCACCACGTCGATGTCCTTCTGGATCCGCTCCTGCCGTGAACACATCCCCATGGAGCCGCCCCCGGGAGAGAAGCCGCGAGCGCCCGCCCCGCCCCGCTCGCCCCGGCCTCGGAAACGCTCCGCTCGAAATGGAACCTCTGGCCGCGGCGGGGCTGGAGGCGCAGCGGCCTCGGCGGCGCTCCCGGCGCGGGCGGGGGCGGGGCGGGGCGGGGGCCGGCGCTGCCGCCAGATGTGCCGCCCAGCTGCCGCCGCCGGACGCCGCGGACCCCGGCCTGGCTTTCTCCCTCCCGCGCCCGGAGCGGGGGCCGCGGGGGCCGGGCGCTGGCGGCGGGCGGAGGGCGAGCGGCGGCGGGGCGCCGGCGAGGGGCGCACCCCGCTCCGCCTCCCGCGCGCACGCCCCCCGCGGCCCGCACCGCCGCGCACACTCGCGCCCGCGGGCGGCCGGGGTGCCGAGGCCGCTGCAGCGCCGCCCGCCGCAGACCCTGCCGCCCCCGCCGCCCGGTCACCCGGTCACCCGGTCGCCGGGCTGCGATTGCCGCCGCCGTCCCGGGCGCGGGCCGGGCTCAGCGGGGAGGTGGGTAGTGAAGGCGCCGTGGGGCTCCCCGCCCCCTCCACCCCCACTTTTATGAATTCCACTCCACTTCCAGAAGGAATTATGAGTCAGATGGAAAACCCAAATCGGAGTGGCCGGGAGAGGGGGTGGAAGGGAGAAAGGAAAATCCTTTAAAATGGGAAATAAATAAAAGGAACAAATCTCTCCTTGTGCCCCGTCAGGCGTGATGGAAAAAGCCTGAGATCACTCCAGACGCGCGTCCTCCTAGGCCCTTACTGCCTGAGTCTTTTCCTCCCAAATGGAAATATTGGGGTGCCCCTCGGAGACGAAGGCCCCGCTGGGGGACTCCCTCCACGTCCGGAGCCTCACCGTTTCCTCCCTCCTGAGCATTTCTGTTCAGAAGGACGTGGCTGACTCAACCGCATGGGCCAGGGGCTCCCTAAAAGGGGGGCCTCTGCTTGGCTTGTTTTAAAGGCCGCCCTGTGCCAATCCATCAAGGGACGGCTCCTCCACGCCTTGTCCGGCTCAGAAAGGAGACGCAGCTCTGAGCCTCCGGGGCTGGTGCGGGCCCTGCCTCCACACGCGTGGCCGGAGGCCCAGCACAGCCCCAAGGGCACCTCCCCTTGGACCGGTTGGCTCCTCTGGGCAGCCCCTGTCTCCTCCTGTTCTGCATTCCCAGGGCCTGGGGCGGTGTCTGGAACACGGGAGGGAACCTGAATGCTGGCTGGTTGCATGAATGTCTGTGCCTTGCAGCCTCTCATCTTTATAGGCGCCCCGGTGTCCATCAGCTTCCTTATGGGCATGAGCACCTGAGCTGTCAAGCAGGTTCAGGCCCTTCCTGGGTCCGGCTCAGGTGCTGACTGTGGCAACACGATGTGTAGGGGAATTAGGAACAACTGTCATCCCTGACAGATTGGTAAGATTCCAGAGAGACACAAGCCATGTGAGATGACGTGCTCCAGTTCCTCCATCTCGCAGAAAGGAAAACATGGCATTATCGGCCGCACAGCCCTGAATGCAGTGCACTGAGTGGGGATTGCACTGCAGGAGCCCCGCGGCAGCTCCTGGGCCTGCGGGCTCTGACCTGCCACAGCCACAGGGACAGCAGTAGCTCTCTCAGCCTCTCCTGCAGAGCTTCCGGCCCGGGGCAGGGCAGGGTCAAGGCCCCCCTGGGGTGCTGCTGGGCTACTTTCTCCCCTTCCACGCGTCGACTGACTTCCTCCTTCCATCCTGCGCTCTAACTTCTCCAAAAAGCTCTAAACCTATCCCATCACGAGGGTTTATCTTCCCGCTGCCTCTCCACAAAGCCTGCGTCCTCAAAGCAGAACCTTCCTACGGATACATCTGGGCTCGTTTCAAAGCGACCAGGTTGTCTGCTGTTGTCCCGTCGCCTCCATAAAGTAGGCCTCCGTGTGATTGGTGCCGCCTTTGATTTTTCCCCCGGCTTCACAGACCGTCCTGTTTTTGTTCAACAAAGCCAGCCTCCCTCTGTTTGCGCCCTTAAGGTGTGATATATTTAAGTACTTTTAAATGTTAAGGGATAAGATTTTTTAAAAAATGAAAACCAAGCTTTCCCTCTAGTACACACTTCTGCAAGCTAAGTTTCTCCAATAAAAACTACACAGGTACTAGTGTTCCACGCTGGGTCCTTACGGCTTGATTCTCTCAAATTCGGCCCAGACCCAGGGTCCCACTGACTCGTCTCTTCTCAGGCTCTTGGTTAGGCATTTAGGTTATTTGTGCTCTTGTTAAAAACTATAGGCACCTTTGAGATGAGGAGGCTACATCCTTGCCTCAGTAGTCATGGGTGTTCATGCGCGTGTTTGTGCATGTGCACACCACACACACACACACACACACACACACACACACACACGGACACAGGCAGCAGGTGTTAGGCCCTGGATAAGTTTGTTGAAGGAATAAAGCCCATCACTCACGAGAGACCTCTGTCGGATGCCAAGTACCCTGGAGACCATCTGTATGCAGGACAGCTGAGCCCAGTCAAAAGACCCACCAGTGTAGAGAACGTGGTCCCAAGCCAGCTGGTAGAACCTGTTAGCCCAGTGGTTCGCAACCGTGGCTGCACATTAGAATCACCTGGGAATCTTTTTAAAATCCTGACTTCTGGGCCTCATCCTCTGGAAATTCTGTTTCTTTGTGACTAATATTGTGGCCCCACCCCATCACAAAGAAACAGAATTTCCGGAGGATGAGGCCCAGAAGTCAGGATTTTAAAAAGATTCCCAGGTGATTCTAATGTGTGGCCAAGGTTGAGAACCACTGTGTTAGAGGAAAACTGTGAATTCCTCACCTGTGCTGGCAGACCCTCTGCAGAAGGAAAGGTATTGGAAATGTGGCCTGAAGGTGGGGTGGGGATTGACCCGCCCTTCTCCAGCACCCAGGAGAGCTGGCTGCTCCTGAAGGTGGGGTGGGGATTGACCCGCCCTTCTCCAGCACCCAGGAGAGCGGGCTGCTCCTGAAGGTGGGGTAGGGATTGACCCGCCCTTCTCCAGCACCCAGGAGAGCTGGCTGCTCCTGAAGGTGGGGTGGGGATTGACCCGCCCTTCTCCAGCACCCAGGAGAGCTGGCTGCTCCTGAAGGTGGGGTGGGGATTGACCCGCCCTTCTCCAGCACCCAGGAGAGCTGGCTGCTCCTGAAGGTGGGGTGGGGATTGACCCGCCCTTCTCCAGCACCCAGGAGAGCTGGCTGCTCCTGAAGGTGGGGTGGGGATTGACCCGCCCTTCTCCAGCACCCAGGAGAGCGGGCTGCTCCTGCCCCCAGTGCTCTACGGATAGCCACTCATTTCACATGTTCGGTCGCCCTATATGCGAGCTGCTGATTCTTCACGTTGTACAAAAGAGGGAACTGAGGCACAGAGGGATTCATGAACTCATCTCAGGCTTTTCCTCTCTCCAAACCTTTCAGCAGTTGAAAGAAACAGGAAGGAAAGTAAATGTTCCCAAGTCTCAGCGGGGAGGAGAGTGGCCGGCCAATGCAGCAACCCCGAGCGAAGGCAGGAAGAAGGAGAAAGGGTTCCCAGGGGCCCACCCATGCCCTCTCCTGGCCTCTCCTAGCGGCAGGCACGACTGCCCTTTCCTGGGCTGAACTGCTTTCCCAAACAAGTCCCCGGGGATGAAGAAAAGGGATGGGAAGCAGGAAGCAGGGCTAGCAAAGGGGACAGCCCCCTTTCCCAGACGCTCTGGGGGGCGATCAGTAACAAAGGCCCATGGGAGGGCCCAGCAGCCTCCGTGCGCTGTGGAGACATCACATGACAGCTGGCCTTTCTGACAGCTTCAGAGTGAAAAGGGAGAGGGCGGCTGGCATGGGAAGAGATCGCCCAGGGTGAGGAAGTGGGATTTTAGTGAGAGAGGGGAAGCCCTTGTGGAGGAGGGGACCACAGAGTTCTTTTCAATCGTCAGGTGAATAGAACTTCTTCTTGCGATGGTTCTCTAACAGAAAGGCACCCACACAACTCAGAACGCCTGCCAAGCCCAGCGGCTTCTGTAAACAACGTGAACTTGAGCAACCCTCTCGTTATTGAGCTGCTGGTACTTCTGCTTCCGGAGAAACGAATCCTGCAGGGTGTCCTGAGCTCCTCGGGTGGGTCCAGCAACCGATGTGTGAGCAACCCAGAGTCAACCCGAATAACCTCGGCAAAATGGAGGAGAATTTTAGGTGGTTTGATGTGAAATGTGTTCCAATTTGGTCCTTGTAGGGAGCGGCTCTAGAGGTAAGCCTCAGATTGACCTGTGGCAGAGCCACAAAGAAGTCCCAGCTTAGAGGGCAGAGCCCTCTTAGCATAATTAATCTTGACCATATGGCCGCCCCCTAGATCCTTCCTGGGTAGCAAATGGGCTGTGGGAGGTGCAGCAAGTGCTGCCAAAACAAGTGAAACGCACAAGAGCATTGTAACTATGGTGACCACTACCTTGTTTTCCTCTGACTATAAAATAAAGCCTCAGCTTGCTGGCTGGATCCTTCTCTGTGGCCTCATCCAGGCACAGAAGACACACCGAGCCCCAGCTATATTCTCTTTGTCTTTTCTTTAATCCTTCACCGCCCCTCCTCAGGCTCACCGAACCCTTGGCTGTGCTGACACGGCACAGGTCCTAACCTAAGATCAAACGGGCCAGCACAGTGGCCGTTGTGAGATTTTATGGCCTTTCCTAGCCTCACTGAGCTTCACTAATACAAAAGCCGTAGCGTGAAACCTGAACGGCTCTGTCTGCTGACCAGGCCCTCTTTCATTCAGTCCCAGGGTCTCTCCTTACATGTTAATCCCATTCCTCATCAGCCCCAGTTAGAGCAGACGCCTACCTTCCCATGCAAACACACATCCCTCTCAGTTTGTTCTCCTGGTAATTCTACTTGGTTTTCAACAGCTCTGGTTTCCCTTATTTTTAAAAGTGCATAAATACTGCAAGAATATATTCTCTGGGGAAACTGTTTAAAACATACATGAGTACAGACAGTAACATGTCCAGCTATCCTAACCCCTAATCCGCTCCTCACCCCAAAGGTAACTAGCACTTATAGTTAGGAGAGAATTCTCTCATTCTTGCATTCATATATTCACACAAATGTACTTATTGGGTGTCCCAAAAATGTATGCACACA